TGCGGGAATCTTCGATAAGTTCAAGGCAACTAGTTGGTGCAAAGTTTGAGTAACGTTACAGCTTAATATCAAGGTTTTATTTGACAGAGTTTACCATAAAAAAGTGCCTCGATAGTTTAATTCTAAAGGAAAACACAAATGACAAATAAACCTATTTTCCTTAGCGAAACAAGCTATAAATATGATTTTAAAAATTATTATTCTACTTATAACGTTTATTTTTTTTTTAAATTGTTCGACTTACCGGTTTTTGACCTGCAGCTTTCGTAAGCTGTTTACTTCCTTATGGCATAGGTTATACAAATTTTAGTGTTCTGACATTTTAAATGTTTTTCTATATTTATTTTAACTATAAATAAAACAATTTAATTACGGGAAACTTTCACGATGAGCATCGAGTTACGTAACACGTAAAAAACCTAGGGACATCGTCGGTAGATCTTTGGTTACTTGTACCGTAATAATATTCCTACATTTTAATTAGCTACGTGTGCATACAGTTCAGGGTTGCAATCTAGTCAAAAAGTAGTTTCCTGCCAATCACCTTTGAAAAACAAGGCTGATGGGGTCAATGGCACTATGACTATTCAGTGAAATGAAGCTGATACTCACAGTCTAAGAATTTTAATATTTCACGCAACTGATATGCTTACATAAGTATGACAGTTAAAACAAAAAGAATTGAATTATTAGCAACGAAAATAATTCAAAGTTAATTAATAGCTTTTAGGATCTGACATAACGTATTATTACATTATTCTTTATTGAATCACAGTAGTTGTAATAAAAATGAATCTTATTTATGCGTTTATAATAGAAAAAAAGTATCCATTATTTTTTAAAAGAAAAGTTGTACGGATAAAAGTACTTTTATGTACCGCAAGAGATGGTTATTTGTCTTAGCAAAACTTGATCTCATGTATGGGAGTCAGTATTCATTGCTACAAAAAAAGGTATAGGATAATGCAGGATCTACTAGTAGTACATTTTGGAAACTCGACGAGGAAATTGTATTGAAGTTGAGATCCAGCTCACAGTACCTGTTACCAATAGCGCAAATAATATTACTATGAAAATAAATTAGAAAACTGTTCATTACAAGTAAATGTTTCGTTATAATTAACTACAAAATACATATTGTTTATAATAATATTGTTAGCAGTCGTTAAAAAATTGATGTAAAAAAAAATATTTGTACAAGAATAATGACAGCTTGTATTAATAAACCAGAGTGAGTATTTCTTGTCTATTTATAATTAAAAAAATTATAAAACTACTTAATTATCGGTTACCTACGAAAAGCGTTGTCTCATACGGAAGGCTATCGATTTCTTGTACAGGACAATAATACGAATGATTTACGCTTCTATCGATTAAACTAGAATAATTTTATTTTGCGTTCAATGATGCGCTGAAGAATGGTAAATGCACTCGACATAACCCTTTCCGGTCATATCTCTGTACATCGAACAAGCTATATATTCATTTGTTGTACTGCGCTGAGTCGACTGCCAAACTAACCTTTGCAGAATCAGTGACTTAAATAATTGTGCACTCAAAAGCTGTCCATTTTCAGAGCTTGCGCATGTGGTTACTTTTGATCGGAAAAGCATAAAGTATTATGTATTAAAATTTCAGACCATTTTTTTGAGAACCACCATCACATTTGGTTGGTGCAGGGTTCTATGATTCTTTTTTATTATGGTAAATTTTTAAGAAATAACCGAGAAAAATATATTTCCTAGGCGTGTTATACTTGTGAAAATCACTTCTTCATCAAGGTCACCTTCATTCTATGGGTCTTATGCATCTGAACACACCAAAGAAGAAAAGAACAACAGTCTTCGACTATGTTGAGAACAATAAAAGGAATTATTGAAAGAAGTTCAATGAATATTAACAACTACAATAACTGTTTATTATACTTTGTTACTTTAGAGACTAAAGAGTGACTGCTTACGAAAAAGATAGAGTGTGACTAACTACATCGCGTGGTGCTGGGCATACAATTCGTGGTTATTGGTTTCATGTATATCTGCGCTTGTACTAGACTGTAGGAGTTTACTAACATCAAATTAATTTTGTACAAGAGTAAGTGAGTTGCAAAAATGGAAGCTAACGAGCAGTCAGCTTTCTCTTATAAGCTTGTTTAGTATGCGATGCCAAGCAAAAATTCTATTATTAACTTCCAGCTCCTTATTTGGAATTTTGTTGTATATATTACGTAAAGTATAAAAACTTTATTAAATACTTCTTTGCTTCATGTTAACAAAAAAAAGAAGCTGTGTGCAGTTGGTTCGTTATACCTTATTTCCTATGACTCCATTTATTAAGGCTAACACCAGTGTACTCAGATGAAGGGCTCAGTGGTTATAAGAAAAGTAATTTCTAAATTTTGCCGCCTTTTATCAACATGCTAAGCAGCATGCTGAATTATATCAGAATGTCATTTTCTGTCTATTATTAAGGTTGCTGTATAAGGACGCTGAAAGAATTGAGCAAGTTTTTACTGCGCTAATCGACTGAGCTCTTTATTTTGTATTATAATCTTATCCCCGTAATAAATATTCTGATAGAATTACTTATTAAAGATCTCATAGGCACCTTGAAATTTGTGTCATAAGCTTTTGTTCCATAAATTATCATTGAAATTATGCATGTCAATAAATTTCTATTTGTTCTATCTAAACTTTAACAAAGACCTATATCTCTAACGAAGAGGACCTGGTATGCTTCCAAACTTGTCTGGCATTAAAATTGTTTTCACAGGAGATGCTTTTCCTGACATAGGGCTAATGCCTCTTCTGATATAGAACTAACTTTTTTTTTGAAACTTTTACCACTAGAAATATTTCACATTTACTCGTTGATTTTCTCAATTTTTTTTTTTTTGTTTCTTTTTTTAAGGCCACTTAGAGCAATGGTTTTCCATTATTATCCAATTTAAATACACGCTGGAATGTCAGCATGTCTATAGTATTAAGCAGCAGGTGGTAATCTTCTGGACTGAAAGTTTTTTTCTGTTTTATTTATAATATGGAGAGTGTGATGTTTGAACATATGTGACTTTGTACTTATATGACTTAAATGTTGCTAAGAAAATGATTTTTATAGGATTCAAAATTTATTTTTGCTTCAACAATTAAAGTCTTACACTTTTTTAATGAGCTCATTATTTTAAATACGTAAACTATACATCTCACTAAGAAGACTAATAACATAGTGTTGCCATAAGTCTCGTCTCTTATGGGTCCAATTATTTTGTTATTTTTTCATGGCAGATCAAGTGGATGTAAAACTGCATGGACGTATGTATCAAATTTATGGATATTTCAAGGGCATTCCGTGTATCATCTATAATTTCTACTTTACTGACTTTTAATAACAAGAAATTATTGTTGATAACTAATTATGTAACGATTTAAATCCAAAATGATGAGAAGAGCCCCCAAACTGGTACTTTGAAGAATCAATCAAGCCTAAATTCAAAACAATTTGTTGCGAAATAAGAGAGAAAAGTTACATTTCAAATTGTGTACACTGACCCACTCTTTGATGATCATGAAATGTAACTTTTCTCTCTTAGTTCGCAACAAATTGTATTGAATTTAGGCTTGATTGATTCTTCAAAGTACCAGCTCGGGGGTTCTTCTCATCATATTGGGTTCAAATAGTTATATAATTAGTTATTAACAATAATTCTTTATTACAGGTAAGTCGGTAAGGTAGAAATTTTAGATGATATACTGGATGCCCTTAACCAATTAATTTATTGATGTGCTCCTTTTTAGTCCATTATACAGCCATGAGACTTTTGAGCAATTGGACGACTATCGTCGTATGAATTATTAATAAATTCTCAAAGGTCGTATAACATTCATGCTATAATTAAGGAGCTTGACATTGAGTCCTTATAATTTGTATTACCTTAAGACCATATCAGAGGTAAAGATCTCACTTTTACTTTTTTTTTACTTTATAAAATTAATTGGACTCAGCAAGTCTACTATAATTTGATCAAGGAAGGGCGGTTAGCTCTTAGATTCATCTAAAACTATACAATAGAAAAGTTTGATTTGAAACATAACCTCTTTGCCTGATGTCCTCTTAAATGGGTGAATTAACTTACCGACAAAAAGACAGGTGTATCTCAAAAAATACCTTGATCTATATGATATCATTTATTTATTCAACTACAATTAATTTTGAAAAAATAGTAAAATATTCCAAAAAAAACGAGATTATCTTATAAACATCTGTTTATGGATTGTGTACATGTATGTATTTTTTTTTCTTAAACTATTATATTTTTTTTTATTTTCACATAAGGTCATTAGTTTCTACTTTACCAAATATTGGACAAAAATGTTTATTTCAAAATATTAAAAATATTTTTTACATGGTTCTGAAAATCAGGGTCATCAGAAATTTAAGATTACTATCATATTCACTACTTTGAATGGAACAGCTTTTGTGAATTGCATTCCCATATAAATAACTCTTTTAACAAGATATTTAGGCAAATTATAAAAACCATAGCACCCTACATAACTTATCGTAAGAGATACAGAGACACAATAGTGTGCTCAGAATTCATTTGATAGGGTTAAAGGAAGTCGAAGAGGTGTTAAGAGTTCTAAGTACCATTCTATAAATTTAAAATATCATTATCTTTTTTCTATTGCAACAGTTTTGGGTCACTTGATACTTGTTTACCTTTGTTAATCACAATCTAATAAATGATAATACATTGAACTCTACGTATTATGTCAATAGAAAGCCACTTTAATAAAAGACTCAGTTATAATTAACTGACCTATGAAAGACATAATTATTGAAAATCAAGAAACTCTTCTTATTTAGACAGTATTCAACAGATTTTAACAATCGTACTGTTTTATAACGATAACTTATTGTTTTAATTATTACGTTTTTTTCCTTCAATGTATGTCAAAATATATTTGTGTATCTACATGTTTATCTGTACACTTTTTTTTAAGATCACGGCGAAGCAGTGGTGCTCATGGTAACAGTACGCAACAGTCACGGACTTTTGCACCTGGAGGTAGTATACATTAATTTTTATGCAACTATATTTCAAAAGTCTAATATTAAGAATAATAACAACTCCAATCATCTCAACCTTGCATAGTTGTCCAAAATTCAATATAAAAAATGAGCAACAACTTATAACAGCCAGTCATCTCTTAAGATTTTAACAATTGGTTATTTGAACTTAAATTTGTAACATGATTTTAAAATTTGCTTATTTTGTTTGAAAATGATCGTGATTAATAATATAAATTATAAATTATTATAGTATCGATTTTTTAAACTATTTTAAAAAATATAATAAGTCCCTTTATTATTGCTTAAAGGTTAGTTTTAAAAGATTTACACGAATAAAAGTTATGATTACCACAGGCTCTTACGGTACGTAACCTCAACTGTGCTGTATACATGGAGAAAAACGCTCATAAAAAGTAAAAATACTAAAAGAAAACTAAGCTTTGAATGAACTATTATTTAAAGACTTAGCAGTGATAGCATAAATATTATAAAAAACATAAATTTGGAGCTATTAAATACTCTTTATTAGAATCACTGTTACGTATCTTCCTCTTTTATGTAGGTTTATGTAAGGCATTCAACACAAACTCCCCACCGAATGCTATAGCATCCTTACCCAACCTTCCACAGATCGCTATACACAATAAGGAAAAATTCAACCTTTTTCTCCATTCTTTGAAATAACCATATTTTTCATCCAGACCTGCAACTGCCTCTACCAACTTTAAGTACTGTCAAAATGTATATTATTGAGACTGAAAGATTATACTGGCTGTCAGCATACTTCTGATGTTGTTAACAATATAACACTTGCCTTTTTTAATTGTCTGCTTTAACCATCACGTGTGTGTGCATGCGTGTATGTAAAAAAGTTTTGTTAAGGAATTACCTATAAATTTGAATTATATCTGTGGGCTACGTGTATTTGACGCTCAATTTTTATGAAGTTATATTGGTACTCATATTTCCTATTATTACTATCGAAGGCATACATGTATCATAAATGACAAAAATACTTTTAACGAAAGAAATATTTAATGGTCAAATGAAATGTTCATGAAAAGCTTAGAAGATGTAAGCTACGAAGAAAGTTTTAGAAGCCTGAGAGCATCAACAATAAATAAAAACATAATTAGCTTGAAAAAAATAGTACTGGCCAGTCGTCAAACCATAATTCATAATTAGATAAGTTACTAAGGACTTAAACGTATAATTTGCTTTATGCCATTTCACTTTAAGCAATGACTTACGCACGAGACAGTTCTCTCTAAATTAATGCCAAAATTTCTCCATTTATGCCAACAACAGTAACGCATTGACATTGCTCATAGGGTGTAGAGATCATGGACGTTACTTGTAGCCCTATTTGCAATCAGGGAACAAAGAATTCTCTGTTCTTCTTTATAAAAGTACACCAAATATATTAATCAAGTTTCTCCTTCTGTTACCAACCTAGATGATGTGCAACGTAAAATATTAAAAAGATTTTTATTCAATAAAAACTTCTTGTAGTAAAATAACTTTAATGCAATTACTACGTAATTATATTTACTTTTATATTTTGATATAATGTTCTACTATAACAAATTAAATTTCTAAAAGTAAGTCAAAAGTATAGAAGATTTTTTTCGAAATTAAAGATATTTTATAAGACTAAATAGTATACACAAAGTTGAATTTATTTATAAAAATGTAAAATAATTTTCGTTTCAGTTTACGTTTTAACAGTTGTATCAACTTTGAAATAATCAAAAATTTTACATTAGATAATATAAAAAAATTGTTGTTAAGATTTTGGAAATTTATTTTTTATTTAAATAAGTCGCACGATGAGTTAACAAATAATTTATTATTTTTGCAATAGAAAATATTTAAGAAATACATATTTTTTTTGTGACATCTAATGTCATATACCTCATACTTATTACTTTGATATACCTAGCTCCACTCTAAAATTATAATGAGCGAATGCACTTCAAGTTTTATATCTGCCTCTGCACTTACGTGACACATATTTTTCTTCTTTGAAAAAGATCTACCGTTGCAAAACACGAACTACGCGTAAGTATACCATCCAAAAAATCTTATGAAGCGCTTATCTCACAACACAAATATGAATCAATACACGCAAGAATGTTAACAATTACTGATTTTAACATTTACTATTGCATGTGATCCACAACGTCAATTGCTTACAATTTTGACATCAACTTGTACCAAAATAAGAAATCGAAAGGATTTGCATTTTACCCATCAATAAATGTATGGTTACTGCACCGTGATGTTGCTTATATGAATTAGGAGTAGCAAGGTTAAGCTCTAATTGATCGCTAGAAAGTAAAACATAGAGAAAAAAGAAATAAAGGACACTTAGTTTGGATTCCAACGTTAGAAGTAGCAGCCCGATAATCGCGATGGCCACGAGTACTCTTGTGTAGGATAAGAGCTATCATTATAGTGAAACTTGTAGGATCTTGCGACTATGTATGCACAAACAGAGGCTGACAGACGATCACATTTACAAGTTATATTAAGAAAAACTATAAATTCTCAAAAATTGTAAGTGCAAACTCAAAAATTGATAACTTATACTTTTGTAAAATTTTATCTTTTGTGGCCTTACAAAATTTAGTAAATTATTATATAAGATATTAGTTAGTTTCATTAAACTTGTTTTCTAAATTTACATATTTCAAAATTGAAGATTTCAATTCATAAGCCAGAAGTTTAGCTTTACTTAACAAACAGAGATACAACAAAAATAAACAGACTAACGTGTAATAAAGACCTTTACAAGGACAAGAGATATAAAGACTTAAAAAGTGCAACTACAGCATCACGTAGGCAGAAGTTCATACCGTAGGTCAACGTCAGTTTGATGTATGACACATCAACACTTCTCCATGCATATCGCTCGGTAAAACCTAACACTACAACGCTGAGTCAACAATGAAAAAGGAAAGCAAACTGCAAGTAAAAGCAAATAAAGCTTTTAGGCCGATGCAATGGCTAGTTTCTAATGAAAAAGAGTAAATTTATTTAGACGCAAAACAAATTTACGTGCTTTATCCTTTACTTAGAAATTTGAACGTAACAACTTCAAATTCAGTCAAAGTTGAAAATTTCTTGCCAAGCAATATTTTCTATTTTTAAATTATTATCACGTTTTAATTCGATATAAATTCAACTTCTTTTTATCTTCTACATCTTGCCTAAGTGACGTATAATTGACTATAAGAAGAAAGTTGCTTTTTTAAATATAATATAAATCATTGAACTTTGACGCTGATAATTATTAATAGTCATGGAAAACGCTACAACTAAAGAAAAATTTTTTCTGTAAATAAATAAAGGTAATAAGAATGCATTTTCTGTATTTAAAGTTCTATACAAGAACTTTCTTTTTCATTTTTTTTTTTTCAGTTAAAGTTTTTGCTCTATATCGTATTATAGTAATTTTATAATCTTAGATTTTATACCATTTCATAATCCATTATCTATACTTAAATTTTGTATCAACATAACAACTGTTCTTATTTTTGAACGAAGCAGATGTACAGATAAGCCTCTAGAAATACCGTTAAGCATTTTAATTGGATAATTTATATAAATATTATTAACTGATATCCCATGAGCAAAGTCAAAACTTTATTTTTGGATTTAATAAATCATTTTTTATGAAAAAGTATTAGAAAAGGCGATACAAAAGACGACATGGAAAATAATTATTGTGTCAAATTTTATTTTGTTAAAAACTGTTGAGTACGGCTTTCCAATACTACATGTAAGCCTGTATATGCTTGTGTATGTGTTTGTATGCACGTGCATTTACTATGCAGCCGAGAGCTCGATGTTTTGACTTTAGAGGGGTGCAAAACATGAACCACGCTCTATCTACCACGGTTCTCCGACTTTTACACACGTCCGCACACGAATTAGTGATTACAGCCTTTTTTGTATCTTATACCTTTTTCTTGTAATAAAGACTTTTATACGAACATGCCCATCTAATTCCTCATACCCTTGTGCTCCAACAGGTTATGGGCCCAGGTCGACGTATTGGAAAAGCATGAAAACAAAAAAGACTTTCTTTGAAAGTGCGCATGAGTGCAAAGTGACTGACTAGGGTGCGTGATCGTAAAAGTGATTACAATGGCTGAGCTTTCGTCACGCAACATCAAGAAGTTCGACGGGAGAAATTCCTAAAGATGGAAGTTTCAGATGCAAAATCTGTTCATAGCTCACGGCGTAGAGAACATCGTCTCGAGAATAAAAGCTGTACCACGAAACCGCGCGTCCGAAAATGGCAAAGCTTGGATCAAAGAAGACGCCAAAGCTAAGTTCCTCATGTCATCAACCATGGAACTTGCTCAACTAAACCACGAGCTTGTTTGCACAACAGCCAAAGAGATGTAGGACAGGCTCGTGGTGATACACGAGCAAAAGTCAGTCACGCATAAGGTATTGTTAACACAGACAAAGGCCAAAATTCTCGAAAATTTTTCATCGAAATATAAGAGCTTCCGCAGTGCCTGAAACAGTGTGGAGCCTGACAGACAGACGATTGAATATCTATAGGCGCGTCTACTCGAAGAAGAGTCGTTGTTGAAAGACAACTCCGAAGAAGCTATAGCGCTAACGGCCACTGTTGGAAAAGGCGGGAAGAACGGTAACGTCAAAGGTACTGGTCAGAAGAAATACAGAGGGCCACGACGCACCAAGGAGCACGTGACATGCTACAGCTGCCAAAAGAAAGGTCACTTTGCTCGCGACTGTCCACAGAAAGACAATGACAGCCAAGGCTACAGCAAGAAAGAGTCACAAAATTATGCACTAATAACGACGAAGCTAGAATAAGATGGCACGAGGCTGAACTCCAAGCCTTTGATAGTAATCCCGACGATAGAACTGCTTGGAGCAGATAGATCCGAAGTTTGAATTACCGACAGTGGTGCATCAGCACACATGACCCATCACAAGGAGTGGTTCGTCGAC